GTGGGGATGGGTGTATGGGAGGGTGAATGGAGGGGTGTGTGTGTGTGGGGGGGTGTATGGGAGGGTGAATGGAGGGGTGTGGGGGGGGGGATGGGTGTATGGGAGGGTGAATGGAGGGGTGTGGGGGGGGAGGTGCAGGGGGGTGTCGTGATGCCAGCTACTACTACTACCTGCTTTAAAACGGTCCCAATTTCCCCAGGTTGCTGAATTTTGCAGCCCCCAGCCTGGGGAGCCGCCCAGCCCCTGGGCTCTGTGTGATCAGGTGAAGCCTTGGAAGTAACGTTGTCCGGAGCTGAGCGAACGCGGCGCTTGGAGCAGGCGGAGCGGAGCAGAGAGCGGGAGGTCCCGGGCTTTCCCCGCAAACCTGCCCTTTGATCCAGGCGCTGCGCTCCTCTTCAAGCGCCCAGCGCGAAAACTAGCTGAGCTGCAGGATCCGAGCGCCGGGCCCTTGGAACAGACCCCCCGCCCCGCCCCGCCCCGCCGCGTCCCGTCCCGTCCCGTCCCATCGCTCCAGGTAGGTCTTGGCTGCCAGTCCAGAGCACGTGCGCTCCTAACTCGGGTTCCAAGCGCAGTGAAGACAGAGCGACTCCGTCTTTAGCTCGAGCTCCAGCCTGGGGCTGAAGCGGAGCCGCTCCACCGCGCGGGGTGCACCCAGGGCTTCCCCCAGCGGAGCCGCGGAGCAAAGCCCCCCGGGGCGGCTCGCTGGGGCTGGCGGGGCGCGGATGGCGCACCTAACGGGATGCGCTGGGGACCGGGGTGGAGGGGAGCCGCCGCTGTCTCTGTTGTGGGGCTCGCTCTCCCGGGCGGCCCGGCAGCGGGGCGAGGCGATGCCCGGGGGAAGGGAGGGAGGAGAGGGCAGCTGGAGGGGCGCAGGTGCCCGAGGGGGAGCTGGCAGGGGCTGTGCAGCTCTGCTGGGCTCTGGAGCATCTGACGGGCTGGTTTGGCTGGAACAGAGCAGACCTGGCCAGGCTGGGTGGAGAATGGGCCCTGCTGGGCTCTGATCCAGCCCCCCCCCCCCCCCGCTGGGGTGTTTGCCCCTGCAGAGGCTGGGGACGGATAATGGGTTTATTGGAATGTCTAGTCTCCTGTACCCCGCCCCCAAGGGCTGTGCTGGGGGAGGGGAGTCTCTAGGCACCAGACTGGCCAGGTATATGGACGCTCTGCCTCATTGGCACTGCCATGTCCTGGGGGAGCAGTGGTGTCTGGGTGGGCCAGGTGGAGGCGTGGGCAAGCCATGGGTTGGAGGTGCACATCCTCTACCCTCGGGATCATGGCGGCTGTAGTGTTGTTCCCACCCTCCCTGCAGCCATAACCAGGGAAGGGCCCCGGGCACTGTGGGTCCATTGCCAGGGAGCTAATGGGATGAAGGGCAAGAGTCAGAGCTGCTGTGGAAGCACTGGGCCTCTCAGGGATCTGCCCAAGTTGGGGGTTGGCCCCACTGCCTCTCTCATGATCAGGACCGAGGGGACAATGTGGAGGGAAAGCTCAGCTGGGGGCAGCCTGGCATGGATTAGGTACTCCAGAGCCTCCTCCTGGGGGGTTTTCCAGGGGAAGGGGCGAACACAGAGTGTGTGTGGAGGTCTTCATGGAGAGCACCAGGTCGAAAGGGTTTGGAAATTCAAGCACTGTAGAGAGTGTGTCTACGTACACACTCAGAGAGAGCATGCAGATTCATTCTAGTTGAGTCAAAATAAATAACAATTGTATATACACTCACAGTGGAGCTCGCTTTTAGTGAATTCGCCTATAGCGTGATTTTATACTCAAGTAGCGTATAAGTTCTGATTGTTTTTTTCAGTTAACCACCCTGTGCAAATTGCAATCTAGGTAAGAACCTCAGAGAAAAGTTGTTCTGTGAAGAGCATGACTTCTCTGTGTAAGGCCGCTGTGTGGAACTCAGTCTGTGTGTACATGTGTATCACACACACACACAAAATAGAGAGAGATTTGGTTGCAGATTGTTAATTGAAGGCTTGTTATCCCTCTTCTCGATATCTTAGACTCCTGCATATTGGGAAGTTTAATAATTGCCAGAGCAGACTGGTTTCATAGTGGTGATGGCTGTTAAGCCTCAGAAGGCCTTTCTTTTTCATCATCAAATAGAAGCCTGTCCAGTCTTGTGGTAGTGGTTATAAAACCCTTTAGCGATCTGCACGTCCTCCTAAGCTTCCCTCTGACTAGCAACCTGGGAAATGGCACTATAGTGAGGGGTAGGGCCCTCCACAGCCTGATCTTGCAAAAAATCACGTGCATCTTTGCACATGCAAGTAATCCCATTGCAGAACATCTGCAGCCTGCACAAGCAGTGCAAAAATGTGCCTCAGAGTGGGGTGGCAACCACGTAATAATCTCTGTCGTTTTGCCAAACATCTAACTCACTGTTTTTCTGATACATTTTGCCTAGTGTAGAAACTGGGATCCATTGTGCAGATCATTGTCAGGGAGTCCTTTCTCCACCCGATGAAAACCTGCTAAGAAATGATCCTGCTTCTCGTACCTGTTCAACTCTGCCGGCTGAAAAGAACTGACCTGAGAACGCCCAAGGTATGAGAAGAGCCGCTGAGTTAGCTGTTCAAGAGGATGTCTGTAAATGAAGAGCTAGAGAGCAGGTTTTCAGCAACCACCACGATGGCCATGGAGGCAAGTGAAGGGAGCCCATTCAGAATCAGCCCCAACAGTTCCTACAATGCCACCTGGGACAGTGCTCCAGCTGCCAGTTCAATGGAGGACATGATAGCCACTTGCACCATCGGGACTATCCTCTCCATTATGTGCGTGATCGGTGTGACGGGCAATGTCTACACCCTGGTGGTGATGTGCCATTACCTGAGATACTCTGCCTCTATGTACATTTACATCATTAACCTTGCCTTGGCAGATCTGCTCTACCTGCTCACCATCCCTTTCATCGTTGGGACATACTTCATCCAGGAATGGTACTTTGGAGACGTCGGCTGCCGCATCTTGTTCAGTCTGGATTTCCTTACCATGCACGCCAGCATCTTCACCCTGACGGTCATGAGCACAGAGCGTTACTTCGCGGTGCTGAAGCCCCTGGACACGGTGAAGAGGTCCAAAAGCTACCGGAAAGCCATTGCCATCGTCATCTGGGTAGTGTCTCTGCTGCTCACACTCCCAATGCTCATCATGATCCAGCTGGTGCAAAGAGACAGCAAAAGCATCTGCCTGCCCACCTGGAGCAAGCTGTCCTACAAAATCTATCTGACCATCCTCTTCTGTACCAGCATTGTGGGCCCAGGGGTGATCATTGGATACCTTTACATTAGACTAGCCAGGACCTACTGGGTGTCCCAAACAGCCTCTTTCAAACAGACCAAGCGGCTGCCTAACCAAAAAGTGCTGTATCTAATTTTCACGATAGTGCTGGTCTTCTGGGCTTGCTTCTTGCCCTTCTGGATCTGGCAGCTTCTCTTCCAATATTACGAATCCTTCCCGTTGTCCCCCAAGGCCATGAGGAACATTAACTATCTGACAACCTGCCTGACCTACAGCAACAGCTGCATCAACCCTTTCCTCTACACCCTGCTGACCAAAAACTACAAGGAATACTTGAGGAACAGGCAACGCTCTTTCAATAGCAGCAGCGGGTACTTCCAGAGGAGGAATCGATTTCAGAGGATTTCTGGGAGATCCCTTTCCACAAGCAGTCAGCATTGCACAGAGACTTACGTGCTCACTCATGTTCCTGTGGGAAACAACAGTGCCTGAAGGTAAAACACATCTCCAAGAAAAAAAAATCAATATAGACTTCAGTGTTGCGTTGCTTGAAAGTGCAACATTATAAAGGCAAAATCTTAGCAGATTCATAGTGTGTTAACGCTGAGTCCAGAGATTGTGCTATCGCAATCTGCACTCATTTATTTCCAATGCCATCGATTTTGTTTCTAACCCAAAGCCTTTTGGTTTTTTCATTCTTTTTTTTTTTTATGGTGTATTGATGTATTTCTCTCCCATCTGTAATGAAAGCCTGTAATATTGACACTTTTTTTATGATTACAGCTGTCCCACAACATTTTAAAATTAAGTTATTGAAATATTAGTTTAGAGGGTTTTATTTTTTTTTAAGCAATAATGCTAGACTAGACGTGGCTGGTTGTATAAGAAGTGAAAACGGTACAATTAAAGAAAAAGCAGCTTGTGTTTCTGACGTGTGTGTTAATCCAGTTTGAATTTTGTAGGGAGGTTACTGGAGGGTTTGAGGGGAAGCGTGGCTGGTTCTGGACTAACTCACCCTGGTTTTACAGTGGTATAAATCCACTGTGCCTGATTCTCCTTCATTCTAGTTACTGTAATGGTTACTGGTAGTAGCAACCTACTGGTGTACATGGGAAGAGAATCAGGTCTCATGCTTAGCCCATGCTTTGGTCAGGGAACACACAAATGAGAATCCTCAGCTTCCTCCTGTGCACTGAGCCAGAATACTTGACGGTCCAAGGTGGGATGGAGAACTTTTCACTCACCCCCCTGGGTGACCTTTCCTTCCCCTCCCCCAGTAATTCTCCTCCCCCATACACAAGTGAGAATCGATGGCAGCTGACACCATTAGCACAGACGGGCATCGTCAATGTTAGTAACACCCCTCAAACCAAGCACACGTCTCGGAGAGTGGCATTTTGAGCTTTCTCCAATGGCGCCTAAGACCAGCTCCCCTTAGACGCTCAGAGAACGAACACAGGAGTCCTCCTATCGCTTTGACCCCTGTGATGATAACGCTATGCCATGCAAAAGGAATTGCAGCCGAAGGACAGAATTAGAAGCAAATTAAAGGCATGGGGCCAAACTCGGAGCTGCTGTGAGCGAGGAACATTCCGCTGGTATGAACTGCACTCACTTATCCAATGTAGCTGGTAACCTTCTGTTCCCGAACAGAGCATTTTACATTGTGATTGGGGATAAGAGAAGCTGTATCTATAACACTTCTTGTGCATTTTTAAAAAGAATTCTCTGCATGGATCTAGCAACCCCCCCGCTGAGGTCTCAAAGCATGTTACCAAGGAGGGGAAACATTATCGTCTCCGTGTTATGCACAAGGAAGCCGAGGCACAGCGTTTCATTGACTTGCCGTCACACAAGTCAGCTGCTGAAACAGGAATAGACCCACATCTTCTGAGTCCCAGTCCCCTGCTCTAGCCAGTAGGCCACACTGTACTTACAGATGCAGAGGCTCTTCAAGGCACAGCAATTAGTGCTCTTCATAACTCGCTCTTCCCTGATTTCAGATAGTGAAAGGACATAATACTAATCCCTGGATCTTACATAGACCCTTTAATCTGTAGCTCTCAAGGCACTAGACAAAAGAGGTCAGTATCATTATCCCTATTTTACATATGGGGAAACTGAGGCACGGGGCGGTACGGTGGCTTGCTCAAGGGGAGCACTTTATCCTGACATCTACATAGTGCTCGTTCATTTTACTTGTGTCTTTATCAAGGGTCAAGTTTTAAAACATGGCCTCGAGTTTGGAGATCCCCCCATTTCCAGGTGCACCTCTTGACGGCAAAAGGAGGCTCAGCCACTCAGCACCTCTGTCAGTCAGGCTCCAGATTTTCAAGACAGCGCAGCTCCCATTTAAACACCTCCATAAAATGGCCAGGGTTTCCAAAGGTCTCAGCTCCCAGCAGCTTTCATCCCAGGTCCTGAGCACACTTGAAAACCCAGCCTCTCATTCAGACGCCTCAGTAAGAGCAGTTGGGTGCCAAATTCTTTTGAAAATCTGGCCCAAGGTGTCTAACATTGGACATAGAAAATTAGAGGCCTTTTTTTGGGGAAAACTGGGCCTATCAGGCCTCTGCAGCCCAAAGGGGGATGCTGGAGGGTGGTTATTAAAAGACAGAGGATCAGATCCTCACCTGGCAAAAATCAGCATAACCCCATTGCCCTCAATGGGGTTGTGCCAAGAATCTGGCCCACTAAAATCAAAATGGCTCCAAAATATCCCACCCTTCATAAAATACCGAAGGCCTAAAACATCCAACGCGCCCGTCCTACATGCAACAAAATCTGTGCGCCACTGAATGCTTGGCTGACCTAAAAGCCCTGCTATGTAACGTGAAGCTAGCCAGCTGCGGCGAGCAGGAAGTGCTAAGTTCTCCTGATTTATGCTGTGTCTCCTGGCTGTATTCTGGACTGAGGCCTCATTGCATTCTTCCCCACAGTGCTCCCAGGGGACAGGACAAGATGCGCTGTGCTAGGATGACATGTGAAGGGCAGCAGCCCCGCTGTTTTCTATTTCTAACCAGGCTGGGGTCTCAGTGGGAGGGTCACAGTTAAAGCAACATGGACACAAAGTGATGAGAATACCAGACCCCTGCAGACAAGTGAACGATCACTGGTGATATTTCAAATCCAAGACACTTCAATGCCCAATGATGGCACATTTTATCTGAACCTTTAACCTTCCTGGGCACTCGATCTACTTGACACATTCACATCTATAGCAGCTGCATGAGGGTATCGAGGGGAGATTACTCTGTGTCTACAAAACAAATGTAAACCTGTGACCAGCCTGGTTAGCCGCATACCGCAGGTCCGTTAGGTTTGCACCCCCCAGGAATTGCTTGTGGCATCAGTTGCACTTTGATGTAGTAAAATGGATGCCCGGGCTTTGCTCAAAGCCAGCAGGCAGTAACTGGAGAGAGCCTGCAAGTGCAAAGGACAACCCTAGCACCCGAGCAGTTTATTACTGTCTGCGAAGTACAAAGAAGGAGCTGCCTTCTTGTAGACGGACATAAACTATTTGGTTAATGATATCTGTAAAATCACTATTGTGCCCTTCTGGCAGGAATCTATGACTATTCAAATACTTAATGGCTCAGTTCTGACCTCATATTTGCATGCATGGATCACACACACTAGAAATCAATGGGAACTCTGCAGGGGGATGTCCCAGAAGTTGTTCGCACAGCTGTATCCTACTTGATCTGAGTCCCCATTCCATTGGCTCAGACCAGGAGCCCTTTCATCTTCCTGAGGTCTTACATTTTCACCTATTCTGCTGGGGGTTTCTGCTCTGTGGTGGGCATTGTAGTGACTAGAACTGCAGGCCAGGTGGGGGCCTTCATCGGTGCAGAACTACCCCATGCCAGGAGTGTTCCCAGGAGGCACTGGGGCTCAGAGACATCCATCTGAGGCAAACCCCTCTTCCTGCGGGAGGAAGGAGGGGCAGTAATTTGCTGGTGGTTTATACATGCAGTAAATTACACCTACACACACACACAGACACACACACACACAGAGTAAATTACACACACACACACCAGTGTGGCTGTGCTGGTTGACAGACTGTGGAGGTGGATCCAAGTGGCCTGGGACAACCTGGTTCGAGTCCCTGATTCAGAGCAGAGACTTGAACCTGGACCTCCCCCATGGCAAGTGAGTGCCCTAGCCACTGGGTTGTTGGCTGTTCTGGGTCTCGCTCTTGTTTTGACCAGAAATTCCACCTTGGACCTGAGCTACTTTTCCAATGAAAAATGTTTCATCAAAAAATTCCTGCTCGGCTCCAACCAGGACCCCACTGTGCTAGCCACTGTGCGTACACAGACCAAAAAGACAGTCCCTGCCCCAGGGAACTCGCCTTCTAAGGAGTTCTCAGAACAAGAACCCATCCATCACCGATCATCAGGCATGTCAATGTGTGACAAACAAACCAGGAATGAAACCAGCCAGTTCACTTGCCCCTCTGCTACCCCAGAAATCAGCACGTAGCGTCTTTCCGGCTATGAAGGTGAGCTGAGCTGTGAACTCACAAAGGTGTGTGTTATTTATCAAACATATACCTGTATATATGGTATGAAGAGACCTGTGTGCTCTAGACACACTGACTATAAGCTGGCGGATAACTCTCTGGCAGCCGTGTGATTTGTTGGCAGGAGGAGATGTGTGCTGGCTGTTATATCTGCCAGGGCTAGCTGAAATGTACTCTAGGGTGTGCTGGGTACCATGCATGCCTATGCATGCCGTGGGTATGCTGTGAATCACAAGGACAAAAGCATGTCCTTCGTGCGCTCCTGCTGTAGGTTCTATTGATTTAGGTTAGTGTCAATAGACAATCAGTGCGTGGGGCCAAACTCTCTTCTCAGTCACACCACTGATCTCCTCCACTTTAGCCACCACTGAAGTGCTGTCATGAGGAGAATCTGGCTGCCTGACTCCACAGCCCTTTGACGGCAGCTGTGAATCTAAGCCAGGCCCCTTTTATTTCGGTCCTTAAATATGGATTTAGAGTCCAAAATTTAAGCACCCAAGTTTGAACACTGCACATCTGGCCCTTCATCTTTTATAATAGCGTGTGCCCTTCAACGTACGTAATGGTTAAGGCGGTTACTGGAGCCCAGGAGGGTGTTTACATCTTTCTTCTGAAACACCTGGGCCTGGCCAAGATACCAGACTTCAGGGGCCATTCATTTCTCCAGCCATTCCTACAAGGAGCTAAAAACTGTTTTGCTGCAGCTGCCTTTCGCTCTCCAGGCTGGAGACTTGGAACACGGGAAAACCCAAACCAGCTCCCAGCGCGAACCCCAAACTTGCAGGGGTCTCACTTCACTCCCCACGGGAATTAAAAGGGTGGGAATCCTTCCGAAGCTCATCGCTAAAAACACTTGGCTCTTGCTCCTCGTAGAGAATTTGGACAAAAGTAATCAACATTTATAGTTTTGTTTCCTTTGTTAAAGCCGGATGTTCATGGAGTGGATGGATTAGGAACAGGGATCTACAAAGCCTTTCATCTCTAGGTCACTAGTTCAGTACCAGGCTGGATCAGTGGTGCTACCATCTGGATGCTGATGGGTGGCCTGTATTAAACAAATTTGTGATCTCAATCCATTTCTGAGAGGGGAGGGGCGCATGTCACAAAACAACCCACACTATTTCATTCGCCCCTTGCTGGCAGACTCCGTGCAGCGGCCAAGGTCTGAATGGGCCTTGGATACCAAGCCGTCCCTGGAAGAGCCATCTGGAGAAGCTCACTCCTCCTGATGTGCTGTCCCTGTTCCACAGACACATGGTTCAATATTCAACTTGCACGGCTGTCAGGCTGGGACTTGTTACCACCATTAAACCAGCAGCTGTATATAAATACACACCAGCCGTGACTGTGAACCCTAAGCATGAGGCTGCCTCGCTGCTTTAGTGTGCACATCTAGCTGGGCT